GCTGCTAGGGAGAAAGTGTGCATCCTGAAGGGAACAAGGCCATGAATGTGAGGTCAGCATGGGGTGGCGCCTGGCTCCCAGTGTAACCGCCTAGAGCACCCCCCACCCCCCCAGATCTGGAAGAGAAGGGCAGGGAGAGGATCTACAGGACATCCGGGGATTCCAGACGGCCCAATCGAGCAAACGGGAAGGAGTCAGACTGGGGCCTTCCCCTGGGGTCTGCTGCTTCCTCCCAGAGACACAGAGGGCCCGGCCCTCACTCAGGATCACCACCGTGTTCCAGAGGGAGGGGTGCATTTCACAGTCCAGACACCAGGAAAACAGAAACGTGCGCTGGTCAGCGCCCATCTGCTCCCGGCAGGTGGATCCTGCTACACAGGTACACAGAAAACCATCGCTTGGGGAGCTGGGGCTTAGTGCTCAGACACTCAGACAGACAGACAGACACACACACACACACACACACACACACACACACACACACACACACACACACAATACGTTAAGAACCCATTTGGCAAGCCCATCCTTCCCTCCCTCCCTTCCTCTTCCTCCGTCCTTCCCTTCCTCACTTCCTCTTTCCTCCCTCCCCTCCTCCCTCCCTCCACCATCTATACAGTGAAAACCTAGCAACCAGATCCAGGCCCCAGTTGGCTAAGCCTGCACCAAACCACAGGACCGTCAGTGGCTCCGTTTGCGCACACACGCACATACCCCTCCTGCGTCTCTCCCCACAGCCGCAGAAGGACAAGCCAGCGTAGGAAAACAAACCTTGCTCCGAGGAGGAAGAACAGCCCATATCATTTAATCCATCCGACCGTGCAGCTGCCCGCAGAGCCAGGCGCAATCCCCACTGACACGCGGTGTGTGAAGCAGCTAATCTCCCACCGAAGCCCATCACCCTGCCACATGCTTGCTATCTGCAGGGCTGCTTGGGAGGGGGGCTCCCCAGCGCCCCACCAGCCCTGTATTGGGGGGCTGCTGTCCTGCGGAAGTCATCAGAAACAGTCTGTGGCTCGGGCTCCTCTGCCGCTCGGCTCTCACCGGCTCATCGGCTCAGCCGCCGCTACACGCGCTTGCCACGGCCAGGGATTAACTTTGATATTCACGGTCTCTCCACACCACTTTCTCCCAGTTGGCCGATAAAATAGCCCAGCGGAGGGCACGTTTGGTTTTTGGGTTTTTTTGTTTTTTTTTTTAAAGAAGAAGAGGCTAAAACACACACACACAAACCAACCAAAAAACCCAGTGGAGACTCCGCTAGAAGCCACGTGCACGCCGGCCTGTGAGGGAGCGTGGCGCTGAGGCCACGCAGCTCCCCACGCTGACCCCCCGTCTCGATCCACAGGCCTCTGGACGCCCAGTAACTGCGGACGCACACGTCTGCCGTCTCCCCACGCCCCCACGCCGCCGTGGAGCACTGCGCGTGCCCCCTCCCAGGAAGGACACCTCTTCCACAGCCAGGAAACAGGCGCATGTGCGCGTGAACGCTCTGTGGCCCAGGCTGCTGGAAAGCGCCATGCCCAGCCAGGGCTCCAGCCACCAGCCTCGGGCCGTCAGAAGCACGGTCCTCCTGTTTACACGTGTGAGAGTTCCAACACTGACCCGGCCTGGCTCTGTCCTCCGCCCTGAGCGCTGAGCGGGACCGGTGCCCAGGGCTAGAGGTGGGCCCGCCCCCCACTTCCTCCCAGAGCCCTGGCAGGCGAAGGAGGCTGCCTTGCCTCGGTGTCCTGGCCTCCGCTGCACGTCTGGTGGGCGGCCTCTACCTTGGGCTGGGCCTCTGTCCTCCCATCTCTCCTAGGAGGGGGTGCGCCTTACATGTCAAGCCGTGCTGCGGGTGGCAGGGGCAGGATGCCACCCCCACCCCCACTATAACTCCTGAAAGACGCAAGCAAGATGGGGAACACCCCGACGCCTCCAGGGGTCCCCAAGGAGCCCCCGCCATGGCCTGGCCAGCGCAGATCAGTGTGGCAGCCGCCCAGGCCACGGGAAGCACCAGGGTGGCAAGCCGCAGAACCCACAGCAGGAAGGCGATGTGCGGCCCAGCTGGGAACACCTGTGGGAGGCGTGGGAGGGCGATGCGCGTCCCGCCGATCCCCCCACCGCCCTTCCCCTCCCCAGGCACCCCGCCCCGCACCGGCAGTGCTGGGGTGGACAGCGCGTGGCTTCGGGGGCTCTCAGTCTGGTGATGCGCGTGGTGCCCCTCGGTCTCAGTACCACGTCGGCACCCGGGATGCAGGTGGTATGCTCAGAAGGGAGCAGAGGCCAGGCGCCGGTGGCTCACGTCGGTCACCCTAGCTACTCAGGAGGCTGAGATCTGAGGATCGCAGTTCAAAGCCAGCCTAGAAAATCTGTCTCTTATCTCTGAAGAACCACCAAAAACCTTGAGCTGTGCCTCAAGCCTGGGACCGTGCCCAGGGCCTGAGTTCAGGCCCCAAGACTGGTACACGTGTGTGGGTGCACGCACACACACTTGTCCCTCCTCCTGGGGAGGGGACTCCAGAGGTGCAGTGGGTCGGCTGCTCACTGGCCCCTAGGGAGCTGTCCCCCATCCCTCCACGGGGAGCCCCGTGCATCCTGGCCTGCAGCTCCTATGTCACAGCGTGCCTCGTCTCTGGGGGAGCCAGGGACACCCACATGTAGACGCAGAGGTTTGAGTGGATGCCGCGCTGTGTGCAAAACCCTGGCCCAGAGCATGCAGTGAGCGTCGTCTGTTTCCATCCTGGTGATTCATTTGCCCCACAGCAGGGCAGCTCAGTGCAGCCAGACCTGCACGGGGCTCTGGGGACGGACATCCGGGCCTCCTCCACACACACACTGCCCAGGCCCCATAGTTGGGGGGAGGGGTACTCATCTACCAGAAGCACAGCCCACAGCAGTCTGTGTGCCCTTAACATCTCTGCAGATGCAGAAGGGACCTGCCAGGATGAGGTCTTATGGACTGTCCTTTCTCCCTGGGGTCCCAAGAAGGCCCCCAAAGCCAGCACCACCGGACACTCACTCTGCTCCCAGGCTGGGCATACATGGCCACCGGACCACGGGCCTCGATCCCAGCACCGTGGCACCCGACCTGGGTGGCGTCCTCACGGCAAGACGCTGTCTAAAGTAACTGACCCCCGTGGAGGAGCTCGTTCTTATTTTGGTGGCACTGGGCTTTGAACTCAGGGCTCCCCACTTGCTGGGCAAGACGCTTTACCATCTGAGCCATGCCTCCAACTGGCTTCTTTTTCAGACAGGGTCTCAGACTTTTGCCTGGGCTCCTTTCAGACCACGATCCTCCGACCCCCTACTTGATAATAACTACCCCAAAGGTTTGTTGGGAATGGTGTTTGCTCTGCAGGACGTTGAGAAGAGCTCATGTGTGCTGCCCAAGCTGATCTGAGGTCAGTGGCGGCTGACAGGCTCGGGGGCGGGGGCAGAGTCCCCATCTGCTCCATGTACCGTCGGCTTAGGGAAGCCCCAGCACTGCCCGCTGCTGACATGCCATTTAGATGGGCGGGCAGTGACCCCAGGAAGGGGGCCCTGAGTGTTCCAGATGGCAGACAGCTCTGAGAAACAGCTCAGGGTGAGATCTCCATTCAGGCACGGCCCATCCCTGCAGCCTCTGTCCCCCGCCCCCCAGCAGCTGGAGCCCCAGACGTGCCCCTCCCTCCGCCCCCCAGCAGCTGGAGTCCCAGACATGCTTCTACCCCCCCCCCCCAGCAGGTGGCAGGAAGCCAGTCCCCCACACGCAGAAGCTGGGCTCACGGCATTGCTAAGTGACTGCAGACACGAATGCGTCCGTGTCCGCGGTGCACTTGCGGGAAGCCGACGCGGACGGAGGCCCCGCAGCTCAGAGCAGCCACGAGGCGTGCCCTGGTTCGCAGGACGGACGAGCCAGGGGCATCGGTGCAGCCGCGGGCGATGCGGGCCGCACCCGGGGCTCCACAGCCACAGACGACGCCCGGGAAGAGGGTCGTCCAGCCATGCAAGCACGACACCCCCGACACGCGTGGGCGCCAAACACGCGGTCTCACCCCCACCCCAAGGCAGGGCGAGCGACGGGGAGGCAGACGCCACCCCGAGCCCCCTGCCGGCTCTGGATGGGACGGCTCCATCTCTCGAAGCTCACCGCTGCCGGTCCAGCCGGAATGCTCCCCGCTGCAGGTCCTGTGGAAGACCCGGGCCGGTGGCAGCAGGCCGGCAGGCTTGCCCGTGGGGCAGGGCGGGGCCCAGCCCGCCGCAGGGCGATGGGGGCGGGGAGGAGCCCCGGGCACGGCCCTCCTGGTTGGCACAAGGGGCACTGAAGAGGGGGAGGGTGGTCAGCACCTTCCTTCGTCTCCACGGAGGCGTCCATCCCATAAACACACGGGAGGAGCCGTAGACACCTAACCTGCCAGGTGGGGCCCCGCCCACTGCCTGGCACGGAGCTAATTCTCTGCCTCACTTCTTCCCTGGGTTTCCCTTTGGGGGGGGTTGTATTTCTAAGGCTAGGTTCTGGAGCAGTCGGGGGCTCGCAGCACCCGAGAGGAAGGTGCGGAGATCGCTTCCTGCCCCTGCTCCACCCCACGCGCGGCCCCCACCCCCAGCACTGGGGCCTTGGGAGGCTGGACCCAGCCCAGCGGCGGCCCAGCCCCAGCAGCTCCACTCCCAGGGCCCGACATTCGACAGTTCTTCTCTAAGGAGAATTGATTTGGGCAATATTTAGGAAAATGAGAGGCATAAGACGGGTGGAAAGTTCCAGATGCAGCGCGGGTTTCCCATTCGTGGCCCTCTCCTCCCCACCCTGTCTGCTGTCCCCACAGAGAGAAACCCCGTGGCGAGCGACCCCAGCCCTCCCCCAACCCTCCCGCAGCCCTCCCCCAGCCCTCCCGCAGCCCTCCCGCAGCCCTCCTGCAGCCCTCCCGCAGCCCTCCCCCAGCCCTCCTGCCCCTCCGAGGGAGAGCGGCCCCCAGTGGGGGGGGGAGGGCTCCCGGAAGCCGGCCACCTCTGCAGCCAAGGCTTATCGTCGTGCGACTCACCGATGTCTGTCTCCTTGTGGTTCTTGATGTATTCTGCCAGCTCAAAGTTGCCTGCGATGATGGCCACCTGCGGAGAGGGGAGGGCACACGCTTCAGCACCGCAGGCCCGCGGGGAGGCTGGCGCCACGCGCTGCCCACGCTGCCCACGCTGCCCACGCTCCACGCACTGCCCACGTACCACATGCTGCCCACGCTCCACACACTGCCCACGCTCCACACGCTGCCCACGCTCCACGCGCTGCCCACGCTCCACACGCTGCCCACGCACTGCCCACGTACCACACGCTGCCCACGCTCCACACGCTGCCCACGCTCCACGCGCTGCCCACGCTCCACGCGCTGCCCACGCTCCATGTGCTGCCAACGCTCCACACGCTGCCCACGCTCCACGTGCTGACCACGCTCCACGCACTGCCCACGTACCACATGCTGCCCACGCTCCACGTGCTGACCATGCTCCACGCACTGCCCACGTACCACATGCTGCCCACGCTCCACGTGCTGCCCACGCTCCACGTGCTGACCACGCTCCACGCGCTGCCCACGCTCCACGCGCTGCCCACGCTCCACGCGCTGACCACGCTCCACACGCTGCCCACGCTCCACGTGCTGACCACGCTCCACGCACTGCCCACGTACCACATGCTGCCCACGCTCCACGTGCTGCCCACGCTCCACGCGCTGCCCACGCTCCACACGCTGCCCACGCTCCACGCGCTGCCCACGCTCCACGCACTGCCCACGTACCACGTGCTGCCCACGCTCCACGTGCTGACCACGCTCCACGCGCTGCCCACGCTCCACGCGCTGCCCACGCTCCACGCACTGCCCACGCTCCACACACTGCCCACGCTCCACGCGCTGCCCACGCTCCACGCACTGCCCACGTACCACGTGCTGCCCACGCTCCACACGCTCCACACGCTGCCCACGTACCACATGCTGCCCACGCTCCACGCACTGCCCACGCTCCACACGCTGCCCACGCTCCACACGCTGCCCACGCTCCACGTGCTGACCACGCTCCACACGCTCCACACGCTGCCCACGTACCACATGCTGCCCACGCTCCACGTGCTGACCACGCTCCACACACTGACTACGTACCACGCACTGCCCACGCTCCACGCGCTGCCCACACTCCACGCACTGCCCACGCTCCACACACTGCCCACGCTCCACGCGCTGCCCACGCTCCACGCACTGCCCACGTACCACATGCTGCCCACGTACCACATGCTGCCCACGCTCCACGCGCTGCCCACGCTCCACACACTGCCCACGCTCCACGCACTGCCCACACTCCACGCACTGCCCACGTACCACATGCTGCCCACGTACCACATGCTGCCCACGTACCACATGCTGCCCACGCTCCACGCGCTGTCCACGCTCCACACGCTCCACACGCTGCCCACGCTCCACACGCTGCCCACGCTGCCCACGCTCCACACGCTCCACACGCTGCCCACGTGCTGCCCACGCTCCACGTGCTGCCCACGCTCCACACGCTGCCCACGCTCCACACGCTGCCCACGCTCCACACGCTGCCCACGCTCCACGTGCTGCCCACGCTCCACACGCTCCACACGCTGCCCACGCTCCACGCGCTGCCCACGCTCCACGTGCTGCCCACGCTCCACGTGCTGCCCACGTACCACACGCTGCCCACGCTCCACGCGCTGTCCACGCTCCACCCACTGCCCACACAGCACCATCCATTCACTCGGCCTGCTTGACCCAACCCTGCACAGTGCCTCCTAGAGACCCCGCTGTGTCCTGCAACCAAGTGACCACTGCACGAGGGCCTGCGTGGACCAGCAGTTGTCTGTAGTCTTGTGTGTGTGTATGTGTGTGTGTGGCGCACACACACTGGTGCTAGGACGTGAGCTCAGGCCTTAGGCACTGCCCCTTAGCTTCTTTTTCAAGCAAGGCCAGCCTAGCACTCCTGGCTTTTTGGTGGTTCACTGGAGATATAAGTCTCCTGGACTTTCCTGCCCAGGCTGGCTTCAAACTCTGGTCCTTAGATCTCAGCCACTGGAGTAGCCAGAACTACAGGTGTGAGGCGCCCTGTCTGATTTGTCTGGAGTCTCTGAAGGAGATTATTCACAGCAGTACAGATTTCAACAAGGCCAGAACCTAGAAATGCTCTACCCCCAACGCACACAGCACATAGCGGTCCGCTCATGCCCCGGAGCCCCAACTTTCTGGTCAGACACGAGGTAGTCCCTCTCACTGCAGACAAAGCAAGAGTTCAAACGAGCACCTGGGGGCCCTCGGGGTTCGGGTCAGTGTAAGTCTCTTCCTGCACCCCAGGGCAGACATCGGGGAAGTCCACAGGAAGTCACCCCAGTGCAGCCCTGCAGCCAAAGATACAGCACAGCACTGGCTACGCCAGGGCAGGTGAACGCAAGGTCCTGGGCCCGGGCCCTCAGGCCCAAAGGGAGACCAGAACCAGAGCCACGTGGCAGAGCGCAGAGCCACGTGGCAGAGCGCAGAGCCACGTGGCAGAGCGCAGAGCCACGTGGCAGAGCGCAGAGTCCCAGCGGGGGGGGGGACGCCACGCAGGTGGGCGCGAGGTCGGCAGCCCCCACTGTCCAGCCGACACGTGTGACACAGGCCGAGGCTTCCTGGAGAAGTCCACTCCTGCCTCAGTGTCTCACGTCCCGCACGGCTCTGACCCACGGACAAGGCTGGCGTTATACATACACCCTACCTCCCTGCCACCCAATAACGCCACCACAGACTGAGGCACCCCGAGGCAAGGACGCATGGAGCACCCCAAGTGGCCAAATACCACGGCACAGCCCATGGGGGTGCTCCCATTGTGATCCTGCGTGAGGAAAAGAGGAAACCATATTTAAGTTGAGAAATGGAGCCTTTGTAAGGGTCACGTGTGTGTGTGTGTGTGTGTGTATTCACGTGCCAGTACTGCGGCTTGAACTGGGCCTGGGCACTGTCCCTCAGCCTTTTCACTCAAAACTGGCATTCTACCCCTCATCCACACCTCTGTTCCCAGCTTTTTTTCTGGTTCGTTGAAGGTAAGACTCACAGACTTTCCTGCCCAGGCTGGCTTCCAACTGTGTTCTTCACGTCTCACCGTCCTGGGTAGCTGGGATTACAGGCGTGAGCCACCGTACCTGGCAGGCCTCACTTGTACATGCGGGCACACAGGGAAATGTGTGTGCCGTCCTCTCCCTCTCTCTGCACCCTGCCGGTCCTGTCTCTAGGGAGTACACACATTAGGTCTAGGAGTGTGGCGCTTTTGCAAGCCATCTGAAGATGGAGAAATGGCTTCCACATCGGATCGTGATTCCAGGCTGCAAGAGTGTTGCAATGCCTGTTCTAAATATCCACGCTGAAGTGGTTCTGGCATCTCAGCGGGGGGCGGGGGCAGGCTCCGGGAAATGGGAGCGTGGGGGGGGGGGTCCTCGTGACAAAGTGGCAGAGGGCGTCGCTGGTCCTGGCGGAAGGAAGGCACCCCTGCAGGTGAAAAATTGGGTGCGCACTGGAGATCTCCGGGCGAAGCATGGCAGGAGCAGCTGGGGCTCCTGACTGTGAGCTGAATTCAGAAGGGACTGTCAAGAAAAAAGGAACCGAAGCCTGACTATTTGGGAAGTTCTCAGTCTCACCCCTATGACGAGAAGGGAAAGCAACACCAGGAAAGGAGCCGGCGATGAGGCTGGCTGCCACAGCGCCAGGCAGGGGGGGCACGGAGCGGGGGAGCCGGGGAACGGGGGAGGAGGAGGAGATGGGGGGAGGGGGAGAGCGGGGGAGGGGGGAGCCAGGGAGCGGGGGAGGAGGGAGCGGGGGAGGGGGGAGCAGGGGAGTGGGGGAGGGGGAGCGGGGGAGGGGGAGAGCAGGGGGAGGGGGGAGCCAGGGAGCGGGGGGGGGGAGCCAGGGAGCAGGGGAGGGGGGAGCCAGGGAGCAGGGGAGGGGGGAGCCAGGGAGCGGGGGAGGGGGAGCGGGGGAGGGGGGAGGGGGGAGCCAGGGAGCAGGGGAGGGGGGAGCGGGGGAGAGGGAGAGCGGGGGAGGGGGGAGCAGGGGAGAGGGAGAGCGGGGGAGGGGGGAGCAGGGGAAGGGGGAGGGGGGGAGCAGGGGAAGGGGGGAGGGGGGAGCGGGGGAGGGGGAGAGTGGGGGGAGGGGGAGGGGGAGCCAGGGAGCCAGGAACGGGGGAGGGGGGGAGCGGGGGGGGGAGCAGGGGGGAGCGGGGGAGGGGGAGAGCAGGGGGGGGAGCAGGGGAGCAGGACTTCTCTGACGGGACGCAGTGATGGTACCTGGAGGTGAACAGGGCCCAGAAGAAGGTGTGGAAATCAGCCACCCCCCACCATCATTCCGGAAGGAAGCTGACAATGGCGGCCAGTTCCTCTGACCCCAGCAACCTCGGGAACTCAAGTAGGCCGGCGGCAGCCCAAGTCCTAAGAGTAACAGGGAGAGACAGGGCAGGAGGGGCAGTGCAGCCGCAGAGGCCCGGCCGGGACAAGCACAAGGCCCTGAGTTCAGTACAGAAAGCAAGCGAGGCCAATTGGGGGACCACGTCTATTTCCCATGCCATCCGCGTGCACCCCAAAGCTGGTCTCAGCCCACTGAGCACCTGGGATGCGGGGCAATGCAAGCATTCATTTTTCACGACTGCGTAGTGTTTCCCCTCCGATCATCTCGAGACTGGAAAGTTATCTTGGACAGCAAGTGGCCGCCCGCCTGCCTCATCCATCACCGTCCACCCCAGGTTCCCATAGAGGTGGACAGCGACAGCTTCGGCTGCTGGCTGCGGCCACTGGCTCAGATACAGAGGCAGGAGGCCGGGGTCTGACCTCTGTAACTTGCAAATGCCGCACAAGGTCCTCATGGGCCACCGGCCACTCTGAGATGGCACCAGCACCAGAGGAAACAGGAACAGAGAGGTTAGGCGACCAGCCAGAGCACTGTCTGAGCCAAGGTATTCGCTCATGCTAATTAACACAGCACAAAACACGTCTACAAATAAATTTCTTTGGCCACATCAATTTCAGCATGTTCGAAATGGAGCTTTGGAGCCAGGCGCCTGAAGCTCACACCTGTAATCCT